TTAATTACTTGTTTAAAAGATTTAATTAATTTAAAAGTGTATTATTCAAACTAGTTATTTTAATAGAGTAACTGACCTAATTTTCCCTAATTAAAATGAGTCTACTGGACCAGAGCATAGTCTGGTTCACCGATTTCCGGGCCAAACCGATCGGTCCGGTCCAGTTCTTATAACTATGGTCTTAGTAGTCTTACATTGTGTGAGGCCTTTTGTTGACTTTAAAATTATGTTTGACTTTAAAATTATGTTTCATAATGCTACTCATTTTTCTACGCATTTTGTGGGATCCACTATTATTTCTCTTTATAAATCATATATAAATTTTCCCTTTTTATATTTCACACATTGTTATGAAAAGAGAAAAAAGTAGAGAGAAGTCAATAGACGTGTGTGTTTTATTAAGAACCAAAACTCTTTATTTATATGGCAGAATTATGAGTACAACGTTAATAATTTATAGAGTTGCAGAGGTATAATTGTCATTCACCAATAATCCCTAATGAACTTTCCTTTCTACAACACTCCCCCTTGAATGACACATTATAAAATATCTATCTCATTGAAATATTAATTAGCAAAAACCCAATGGGACAAAAATGCCAACAAAAAGAATAAAAATAATTTGGAGTAATAAGATGTTGTCTCGTTAAAATCTTGTCAAGAAAACTCAGTGGGACAAAACTTGATCGAAGGAAAAAGAGTACAGCTACTCCTCCTGATTTCAATTCTTGTATTAATTCATCATTGCCTTATACGTCACTATCTTCAATATTGCAATTTTGGTGAAATGCCTCATGTTGTCTTGTACAATTTTCAAATAACACCGTCTTCGTAAGGGATACTTTATCATTCTTTGATAACTGTAGTAACATGATAATTCGAAAAATAATTCTTGTTGATTTCTTCAAGAGTCTCATACATATAAAGTATTATTTTGAGGGTAAATGTCTTGCATGTTATAGACATTAATTACACGAAAAATATGCCTCATTAAAACCTTATTAAGAAAAACATTGTGGGAAAAAATCCTAATGAAGAAAAAAAGAGTACACTATTCTTTTGAATACACTATAAAAGTTGGTTCATTAAAAACCTTGCCAGGAAAAATCCAATGGGATAAAACCTTGATCAAGGGAAAAAGAGTACAACGCGTATTTACTCCCTCTCATGATAATATCACTTGAATTATGCTTCATGCATATTCAATCATTCCAGAATGATATCAAAATAATAGAAGATAAATTATCTATAATCATATTTATTACAGGCACGTCAAATTTCATGCATTATCACACTAACAAGGTAAATACCTATGATTACATCCACCACATGATAACTAATCTATGTATACAAGTATTCGCGAAATTCATTATGTAAAAAGTCGTACATTTCACATTACGACCTTACCTATTCTATTTTCATTTCGCACAAGTATACACCTCTTAGTGTTTGAACTGTATATCCAGAAATTTTAGGTTTCTCTAGTAAGTTCAATTTTATTAGGATTGCATCCATTTTATTTGGCTAATCATTATTTCGATCGATATATTTCAACGAATTTATTTCGATTCCTCGCTATATGTCGTAGCACATCGTGTGTAAAACTGTTGTTGACAACCTTTTCTTTCTTATTCGATTCTATTTCTTTCTCCATGATGACATAACTTAATGAGATATCTCAATTTTCAATATATCAGGTACCTGAACCTCTTCTGGGATTTTATAATTTGTTATGTCTAAATACTCATTAAGAGTATATGCCTTCTTAATGAAACCATCTTTGCTAATTGCTCCATTTTCATTTGAAGATTTTTGTATGAGAATCGAACACCATCACGCTTCAGGTGTGCCATAGATATATCAAATATGATGCTAACAAATTGTCCCTTAAGACATCAATTCGTATTGGAGCATTAAAATTGGTGTGTGAGATATTGTTGATCTCGTTGATCAATAAATGCATCTAAATAAATTCTCTTTCAAACTTCTGGTTCGAATGATATTTAGCTAGGATTTAGATGATGATGCATTTATACATTATTTTTAACTTTTTAATTCCTCCCCGAATGCTGAGATAATTGTCAAATTAAAT